CTGACTGTAGCTGACTGCAGCTGACTGTAGCTCAGTACAATCACAGAACACTGTAGAAACACCTGTGTATGTTGTGTGTTTGTGCTGAAGCCTGTTTTTTTTTCTCATGTGATTTTTCTCAGTTCACCAGCATCAAATCAGAGAGTCTCATGTCGAGAACCAAGAATTTTTTCTCCCATCATGCCTTTGGGTTGGACAGAGGGTGAGGAACAGTTTAAGACTGGAGTAGATGAATGGGATGTGGTGAAAAAAACACTTCTTCTTCTTCTTTTTCTTCTGTTTTGATTTGAAGGAAAACTGTGTCATGTGACTCCACCAAGCCTCTGGTCATCCCAGCAGGTTCTGACTCTTTCAGTCAAATAGGTGAGAACAGCGCCACCTGGTGGTAGAAGATACTTGTGTGCAGATGAATATTTTCAGAGAATATTTCCCTGATAATCCAGGAACTCCCCCGGCTGCTGACGTGGACGTCTCTTCACTTCATGCCAAAAGCCCGAAGGATCTGTGGAAGAAAGTCTACGAGGGAGTTTTCCCTCCAGAGGTGACTGAGCTGCTGTGGTGATAGGACAGGGTTAGGGATGAGGCAGAGAAACAACACAGATGATCTGTCTTTGGTTTTCACTCTCTAACTGCAGAAAATGAAAACTGGGTTTGTAAAAACAGATTTCTCCACAGAGCGTTGAACACCAGAAGGAGGTCAAAGATCCAGGTCGTGACCTTCAGTACAGAGAAGATAGCATTGATGCCACGAGAGCCCAGAAAGACCAGGTAACAGAACCTGACACCACACCATCAACCTGACACCACCATGGTCTCAGATAAGACCAGGTAACAGAACCTGACACCACCATGGTCTTAGACCTGACCCTGACCCTGACCCTGACCTCAGACCTGACCCTGACCTCAGACCTGACCCTGACCCTGACCTCAGACCTGACCCTCTGGTCTATAAAAACACTGTTTGATCAAGTCTTTTTTTTTTTTAATTTTTCATCCTCAGGAGCTGGAACAGTTTAAGAGAAATGCAGCCAAGTCCTGGAGAGGTGTGGAGCTGGACGCCTGATCACAAGATCACAGACAGCTTCATATCTAATCATCTGTAAAAATGTTAATTAAAGTTTCTTCTGGATTTGATATTTCAAAAATCATTCAAAAATCTTCATGAACTTATTCCATTTTTTTGTTTTAATTCAATCTTTTTATTTAAATATTGAAAAAAATGACCAAGTTTTACCTTAGTTTTTTAATGATGTCACTTTTACAGAGTCAATTTTTGTTTTCTCAATCAGAGACACGTCCACGTGTCCAAATGTCTGAGACACAGCAGTTTCATCCAGACGTCCAACTGATCCGACAGGAAAATGATCTTTTCACGACTTATTCAACATTGATTTGGTTTGATGAACACATCCTTCATGACCTCAGCAGATTTCCACTCCTCATCTGTGTAAAAAAAAAGTTTTGAAATGAAATAGTTTTCCCACAAATGTTGTCGATTCAAAGACGTGCTGCAGGGGGCGCCAAAGACCTCTCTTCCACTTTATGACGACGTTCTAATGTCGGACCAGGTTGTCTCTGATCTTGAAGCTGATTATCCCCAGCAGCAGGAGAGCAGGGAGGAAGGAGTAGAGGAGGACAAAGTCCAGGGTGTATCTGGACAGTGCTCCAGGGTAACCCTGGTCGATGATCTGACCGCCCTGGGTCAGAGGGCACCCTCCTGGGAGAGGTCTGGAACTATCTGTGCACCACGACAACGACAATCACCAGACAGAAACAACAACAGCTGATTCATACAGTCAGGTCCTCCTCAAGGACGAGTCGTGTCCTTGGACTGTAATTGATGACCTATTGTGAACAGACTGTAGTCTAATATAATCTAATCTAATCTCTAATCCTGAATTATTTTGATACGTCAGCATATAAAGAGATAAAAGCCACGGCAGCAGTTCTTTGGTCAGGTGAGCAGGTTCACTCTGATAAATGACAGGAAGCCTGTGTCTCCACCTGGAGGACGGTGTCCCTGTCTGCCCCGTGTCTGCCCCCTGTGTGTGGACAAACTCACTGCAGGTGAAGGTGAGTCCGTGGAACTCGGTGACGATGAGCAGCTCGCAGCTGTACTTCTGGAAGGTCAGGTAACTGAGCCACTGGAAGAGCTGGGGCATCTGCTGGGTGCTCCTGTACAAACACAGGGGCATCAACGTCAGCGTCTGCACCCACCCTGCTGCCCCACACCTGCCCCACACCTGCCCCACCCTGCTGCCCCACACCTGCCCCGTCGACGCTCACCTGAGGAAACCAGACCCCACCACGATCCCTGCGATGTTGAGCAGAGCCACCCCGGTGTTGACCATGTTTGGGTCCTGCACCACGCCCAAGAGGACCACGGTCAGGAACTCACCTGAGAGGAAGGACAGAGACAAAAACAAACTCCTGTGAGTCCAAGAGGAGGACAGGAAGAAGGAGGAGGAGGAGGAGGAGGAGATCTGTCTAGAGGAGGACAGGAAGAAGGAGGAGGAGATCTGTCTCTGTCTGTTGTCCAGCAGGTTTTCTCTTCTCCTCTCTCTCTCTCTCTCTCTCTCTCTCCTTTTCCTCTGTTGAAACCTGTCTCTGTCTTTGGTCGTTTGTCGTCGTGTCTCCTCCTGTCCTCCTCTCAGTTCAAGTCTCTAAATGTCTTCGTCCCTGACTCACCCACGATGTGTGGGACCAGGACCACAGCAGTGAAACACAGGAAGCGGATGGTGTCGGGATGCATCCCCACAGTCCTGAGAGGAAACACACACACACACACACACACACACACACACACAGGTGTTAGAACCCAGACATCCTGACGCTGAGGAGCGACCGGGAACAAGAACGTGTGAACGCACCAGTAGAGGAAGGAGGTGAAGATGACGATGCTGAGGACGCTCAGAGGCAGGATGTGGAAGATGTAGGCCAGGAACATCTGCCACTTACTGTACAGACCATCCTGACTCTCCTGGTCCGCAATGGCCCTCAGAGCTGGGACTGTAGGGGAGACAGGAGGGGGGTGAGACGGAGGCGAGGGGTGAGACGGAGGCGAGGGGTGAGACGGAGGTGTGGAGCGACCCGTCACCGTGGTCGGGTTGGTGTTGACAGAGAACGAAGGACAGGAACCTTCATGTTTGACATTAAAGTGAAAGTCAGCGTCAGCTATCTCAGCTCCATGATGTTATCTCAGCTCTTATCCTGGGTCTCTGATAAGTCAGTGAACGCACCACCACCACCACCACCATCACCACCTGTCAGCACCGTCACCACCACCACCACCACCTGTCAGCTCCACCTCCACCTCCACCTCACACCACTAAGAACTTCCTAGAACACCTCATCCGACCTCAGTGGTTGTTACAGCGTGACTGACTGTAGCGTCCAGCCAACCGCGGAC